TTATATATATATATATATATATATATATATATATATATATATATATATATATATGAGGCTTAATTAGATTACTACTTAACACATTAGGTTGGATGTAATGATACATAAAAATCAAACTCCTTAACATTAATAATAATACAATTAATTATAAAAGCGCTTCCTTCGGGTAGAGAAATGGAAAGAATGGCAACACAGTTCTTATACCCGATTAACATGAAATCATAATGAAATAAGAGAAGATTATTCCACTCAGCTTATCCGAGAAGCGAAACCAGCCAGCTAAAACAAAGTTCCTCCCTCAGGTGAAGAGTAGCCAAACAGGGAAGTCGGTGAACTGAGACCATTCAGGAAGGAAATCAATGGCAACAGCTTGGAGGGGGGAGCCGACGCGGAGATAAGGACACACTAAAGAGGCCAATAGAAGGGCGTAGGCCGTAGGACTGTCCCATGTATCTTTCCACTATCGCTGACAACAGTGATCCTTCTGAGAGATTTCCACTGTCCTCATAATAGCCTCCTCGTCTTCAGAGTACTGTTCCTACACACGCGCACACACACCCGCAGCGTCCATTCAAATCAGCACTTTCCTTCTCCGAATGCCCATACGTACGTGTGCGAAAGGTTGGGGAATGAAGTTAAATGATGCTCTGATGACAAAAGTACGGTGCATCAGAAGCTAATGAGTAGCAGCTATCTGGTTTTTAAGAGAGGCGATAAGGACGCGACCACTTTCTTTTGATCCACAAAGTCAATCCATAGGCTTTCTTCTCTCCTTCAATCCTGTGCTACATCCGCACGTACGGTCATCCAGCAGCAGTTGGATGAACGAATGTAACCCGATGTCATGAGGTGTTGCAGCATGTCTCAAACTTGCATTAGCATTTGCGTTTCGGTCTGATACAGATAGAGAGAGAGAGGACCGCCCATTAGATCTCACAGCCAGCGATAGGATCTGCTGCTTGCTTTGTTCAACAAAGATGAACCATATGAAGGTGAGGAGTCATGGATATGTATGTTCCGAGAAATTGTAAGCAATTCATTCATTCATGTCTTTCTCCTAGCGAGTTCGCATCCAAGAAGACACCAAAATATATGGTCATTTAAAGATCCTTGAACCTACCGACCGGAGTAAACTAATGACTGCACCAATCTCAACCGGTGTGGAAGACCACATTTGCTCCCACAAGGTCTCCCCACTTAATGTAGCGGAATAGTATATCCGCAAGCTGACTTGATGTCCCACAAACGATTCCTATTATTAGAACAAGGAAAATGAATGCATGGAGATGTGTGCAGAACTGTCTGCACGAATACTTGCCCGTGCCTTACTGTAGTAAAATCTACAACTGTGGTCATCCCGTGTCCAAAAACTTGAACGAAGCAAAGAACAGTGACGACGGTAGATTTAAGTTCGAGGGTGAATGAAATATAAGGGTTTCTGTGAAACTTTCAGCGGAGGGTATCTCAGCAATGGTTTATCCCATTTCACGCTTGACGGCGCCAAACTCGGCCGCACGCAGAAACGCACGATTCACAGAGCCCAAGCTCAGCTCCCCGTCGCCATTGACGCGTCCAAGAAAAGGGTTTTGAACGGAGGAGAAAGAGAAGAGCTGGCACGCATCCATCTGCAATAGGATGCGTTTCACTAGCAGGTGGAATAAGGTCGGCTGAAATGACCGACACAACGTGATTTTTTTCTTCTTTCTCCATTGGTTTTTCCTCATTCAGAAAGATGAGAGAGAGAGAGAGAGAGACTTTGTGTCGTCGGCTGAAATGGTTTGGTTGATTCAATATACTACTTCTCTTTCATCATCTTTTTATATTTGAGTTTTAATTTTTATTTTGAAGATGAAATGATCGAATATGTTATTATAAAAAGTAGCAAGTCAATCATTCTAAATTGCTCATCAATATCTGTAGTGATTTCATCATGAATGATGGCGATCACAACTTGGTATATATTTTAACATCCTCCTCCATCAATCGACGCCTGCTCTTTGTTTTAATACTACTGCAATCGTCTTTCTGGACTTCAATCATCTAACCCATTATGATCATCATCATTCAAACTCAGCTATCATCGATGTCAAATGTATCATCACAAGGCATATTCGACCTTTCTCGACATGGGAAACCACACAAAGGTGTCATCGTCGCTGATAATAACTCTCAGCATTTCCCAACCACTATGAGACGTTTCCCCAAGGCCCGACGACAGCATCATAAGGATGGTAAAAGAAGTCAGAGAAAGAAGGACGTCCGTGTGGTCCTGCGGCCACCTCAGATCCCGTCCTTGCCTCCCTTGTTATTAGCCAAAAAATGGCAAAAGAAGTGTGGGGACATGGCGGCGTGGGCCTCGCTCGGAGCACCATAAAAGGAAAAGAAAACATCCAAAAATCTTCAAAATGCTACAAGCACACAGTGATATTACTGCTACGTAAACGCAAGCTAACAGCAGCCGAGATTTAAATCCCCCCCCTCGCTCTCGTCCTTCATCTTTATATTTTGCTCTAGTCAGGAAGGAGACGACAGAATGGCCAAAAGGTAGTCTCATATGCTTGCCAGCCCGACTCTATAAGCTACAGGACAAAAGGTCCCACGAGAGGCGACAAAGGGTGACATCTCCTACACATATCGGTAGTACTTGGTGCTGCCTTGGGCTGTCAGACCTAACCCTTGAACCCAAAGATAACGACACCTATTGGGACCCAACATTGATACTTGTGGTACAATTATTTTGATCATCCTGGTCTAGGTTAAGCGGGAGAAACCTTGAGATCCCACCCAAATGTGCATGTTTTCTTTTGTCTACAGTTTTCTCATGGATAATTTACTGACACAGTAACCAGGAAAAAAAGAAGAAGAAGAAGAAGAAGAATGGAGCCTATTGTTGACCATTGACTGCAGCGAGACAGTAGTAGTGGTGTTACGAGTCTGAAAGCGCTGCAGAGCTCGAAAAGAGTGTTTGCACATCTGATGACTGCGATGGTGACGGACGCTAATATTTAGTAAGAGAAGGGAATCTGTGATGGTGGGAGGGAAGGGGGCGCGGGGTTGCAGTACATGGCAAGGAATAAGTGTCCAGCACAACAGTCCGATCGCGATCGGACGGTGCTCGGTTGTCGGATGTTGACAAGCACAGCCTGGAAGACAGCTGTCCGACATCCGCAGGGGGGCCCATCAGCTACAGGTTGTGCCGTGGCCCACCGCATCATAATTGACCGGTCAAAGGTCTTCCCTTCCACCTGATCATGTCACGGTAAGGGTAACAGTAGATCGCAGGACAGCATCACCAGAACAACAGGAGATCGCAGGACAGCATCATTAGAACCGTCGTTCCGGTGAACGCCCACCGAGTGATAAACGGAGGGAGCCGCAAGACGAGAACCTGTTTGTATTTCTGAAAACAAAGCATGAAGCTCTGCTGCTGCTGCTGAGGGTGGGAGATGCGAGAAAAGAACATGATTTGTATCGGATTGCCTCGCCATGGATAGATAAGCAGCACATGCAGTCATATTTAGCTTCAATATACATATATGTGTGCATTAGAAATATTTGCACAAAAATCGAGGCACAGGTGGCGTGGATTATGATATACTTCTTATCTTCCACTCCAGAAGAGCCAGTGATCATATGCAATTATATGAATCAAAAGTGATCATATGTAAAAAATGTAATTTTAAGAATAATGTAGTTAATAGTAGCGGCAGTAATAGATAGTGCACAAACAAAACAAAGATTCTTACAGGAGATTAGGCCAATCATAGGCCCATTTGTTGCCAGTCCAGTGGCCCAGACAATACGTCTCCACTCTATTATATTCTAAAGAAGCTCGTCATTCTTTTCCTTGGACAACTCGTTCTCTGTATGGAACGAAACGAAAGAAGAGACAGTGGAAAGAAAGAAATAATCGAAGGACAAAAGACAAGAATAGTACACATGAAGCAAGCAATAAAATTGATGTGAAAGATGAGTGGTACATCGTACCTTCAATTAACCAACAGTAACAATAAGCAAAACTGGCGCATGTACAACATGTCAATAAAAAAAAAAAGAGTGACACCAGTCTGATGGGAGTGATCAGCTAATATCGAGAGTGCTGAAATGCTTAACAAAGAAATCAGCTAAAAGAACCCTAAGCGAATAATTGAAATGCATTAAGTCCTTAGTTCCTTGCCACTTCCATGATGGCGACATATCCCATAATGAGCAGCAACCCACCAAAGGATGTTTTAGACAGGAAAATTGAAGCTACACTTTGAATCTCAAACTTTTTTTTATCCAAACGCTTCACCCCTACTACCTAGACAGTGTCTTTGCCATGATTATCTTCCTTTGTGAACCTCCCACCACAATTGACACTTTGGGAGCTCAACTGTGGGATTCCAGCATTTACAATGCCCGAAATAACCTGCTTGCCTGGTACTCTGGGCAGCTGTCGAGGACTAACTGCTGCTGGGATCACTGGTAAATTATGCTGCTCAAGCGGGCCTAATCGCTGGAGCTGTTGATGCTGCAAATTCTGTAGCAGGCTTTGCTGAAGATCCACATGCAGCTGATACTGTGGATCACAGGTATTGTTGCACAAGTCCATTAATGGCCTGTTAAAATGTAGCAGATACGTGTCTCTATTTTGGAATGGATACACGTTGCTTCTACCCAGAGCATGATCCAGGTTTAATGTCATCCCAGATCCATTACTCGTACGTCCCATACCTAGACCAACATTCATCCCTGGACCCACTGCCAATCTGGTCTTTGCTAGATCAACTGCCTGAGTTATTTGACTGGTGCCTCTGTTTAAGAAACGTTGACAAGGATTTTTGGAACAAGAAATTTGCCCAAGTTCTTTCCCGCACATGACATCATCTTCAGTTCCACCACCAGCCACTTTGCTTTGCAAGATTCTCTGAGGCTGCTCTGGACTTTGCTGCAAGCCATTAAGTGATAGAAAGGCAGCACTATTTACAGTACCCGATGTGTCTTCATAAAGTGTCGTGGATCTCCAACCATTAGGAATGTGCTGATGCATGAAACCTAAATTGGTAAGAGCTTCTAACTGTTGTTGCCTGGCCACAGCGAAAGACGATGTCAATCTCGTTGGAAGTAGAATCTTTTTATGTGAAAAATGATGCAGATGAGTAGTGCAGATGCTCTTATCTAATGTTGTAACTCTCCTCAATGGATGATCCATATTAGATGTTCCATAAGGGAGTAACGGAACACCAGGAAAACCATTATGTTGAGAACTACTGAAAGAAGAATCAGAGGTGGTAGATGAAGAATGCTCCAGCCGATCATTCATAAGTTCATATCCGTCATGTTCCATCTGAACAAGCAAGAGCTACACTGTGAGGTTCATCATCATCAAGTAGGCTTTTTCCTAACATTACGGGAAAAATAACCCAAAAACAACAAGACACCATGGACAGTTTGGGAGACCTCAAGGAAACATCCTAGTGGTTAAGCGGTAGTGTTCACATTCAAGAGATTAAGAGTTCGAGTAAGCATGTTAAATAATAATTGGACACAAGGATTGTGCTAATAAAAACATGGACAATTTGATAATTTTCTATGAACAATTGTAAATCAGACTGTCCATGAATTTAAAAGATTAATATGTAATACATTAATATAAAGAAAAGACCGTCATGAACAAATGGTTTGGAAAACTGCAATAGGAATTTAGGAGTATTATACTAATTAGATGTCTTTATCTACCACAATAGTTTCTACATTATGCTAATAAGAAAAAGTTAACAACAGAATGGACACTGATTCACACCTTTCCTGCATATGACATATTGACATGCCAATACAGAAACTCAAAGCTCTATAGCTCTTGATTCCAGAAGTAGTTGTGCAAGCTTCATAGAAAGGCAAAAAATGCAAGCAAGAAAGGGAGACTTACCAATGAAGTGAACTGAGCAGCAAACAAATCTGCAAGATGCTGTAAAGCAGGTCATCAAATGGGTGAAAACAACTATATTTTGAAAATGTTGGTCAATAATAACTTTAGTTGATCGAGACTTACAAGTGTCGGAAGTAAAGCAATATGGAAGCGCTTCTCATCAGTTATGTAGACAATTTCAGCTCCTACCTTGTGACCACAAGGCTCATCAAATTCAGTCAAGACAAGCTTTCTCCAAGACTCAGAAGCCGACAAGGGTAAGCTACTTCCTGAGGAGAAGAAACTTCAAGCAAATGAACTTAAAAAAGAAAATCAGATAACAGAAACAGATTACGTACCTCCAAAGAAAAATAGAACACGCCTATATGTTAGTATGCGGGTTTTGCAAACATTTCTACTTCCATCAATTTCTTCACTATCTTCAGGCATCAAGATCCCAACTGGTGGTAAGAGGGAACATGATGATGCTTTTGTCATAATGTAACTGTCAACTTTGTTCTTCTTGCAGCCAAGTCCATACCTAATGAGCATTAAATAATAGCATGATTTACCTGGGAAGAAATAAAAAAACATTTTCCTGCATGATTTACTAGCTATATGGACAGACATTGGCAAGAGGACGAGCCTCAGCATCATGGTTAAGTTGTTTCCTTGTGACTAGTTGACTAGGATTCAAGTTACCAAAACAGCCTCCCTGCTTACAAGGGTAAGGTTATGCACATTAAACCTCCTCAAACACCCCATCGGTGGGAGCCTTGTGCAAAGGTTGTCCTTTTCAAGCAAGAAATGTCCTTTTCATGTTCAGTCATTGGCTGGCTAACAGATACAATGATTGTTGAGAAAAAAAATCATCTTTAATAAGAAGGTTTTGACTTGAGGAGGACCTTTGTGTTACAATTTGAATCTTGGAAAAGCTTTCAAGAAGTCATTGACTGGCTAACAGATATAATGATTGTTGAGGGAAAAAAAATCATCTTTAATAAGAAGGTTTTGACTTGGGTAGGACCTTTGTGTTATAATTTGAATCTTGGAGAACTTCTCAAGAATGGTCGTATCATCATTAGCTTCTGATGGAGCTGGTGCAGGTATGATCTCAGCTAAGGAACCATTTGATATGTCCTGAACTCGTGTAGCATTAACACTTGTGTCAAAGTTAATTCCCATTGTGCCCTCAGCAAAAGCTGAGGTAAGAGCTTTGGGCTTTTTCTTGAGTATCATCTTACTCACTTGTACTAAAGTACTGTTGGACACAGATGTCATGGAAGCAGTTCCAACTGAAGCCACAGGATCTACTGCAGTATCTTCCTTCTGTAACTTAGTTGCAGCAACTTCCTGACATGTCCTGGAAGTTCCCAATGACAGTATCTGGTTTTCACTCAACTGAGACACTGGAAATTGGTCTGAACTTTCAGCTGAAACCTGATAACCTTGAGTCGATTTTCTTTTCCGAGAAAAATCCCCATTCTTTGGGTGTTTCACAAAGGATGGACCATCTTTATCACACTGCAGACGAAATGGCAGAGACCTCTGAACTGATAACTGCTGCTTTAAAATCTTACTTCTGGCATCCACTAGATTATCCTTCTTACCCTTCACCAAATCTGACCTACATAAAACTTTTGCTTCAGTAGGCTCTTCTTTGACCATATCTTTTGCTGCTTCTTTGTATAGCTGAGAGGTCATTTGAACCTCAACCTCTGGAATTATTTTCATTGAAGTCTCACTTATCAACGGACAACTATGTCGATCACAAGTTACAACAAGCTGGCTAATCTGAACTTCCTGTTGCTTCTTTGACAACTTGACTCTCCTCTGTTCTTGGATTCCAGGCAGCACATTTTTTTCTGCTTGTGAAATATCCGAGACTGGTGTTCCTTGTTTTGGCCTTTTTACAGCAGTATTCTGAGTAACTTCTTCTTGGAACTGGCTCCTTTTTCCAAGAGTAGCACAATATTCAGTATGAAGTAGAGAGTTTTTTGAATTGTGATCAGGTGGTAATAGAAAACTTGGTATTGCTGCAGCATTATTTGGAACGGGGAGAGAGCAACCTGCATCTGAGATATTAAATGGTTGTGAAGCCATTTGCAAAGTGTGAAGTATACTGTGGTTCCAATCAGTAGCTTGCTGTATGAATGGCATGCTTCTTAAAATGGTATTCCGAGCATAACATAATCCTCCATGTTCAAGGGAACCACTTGTTTGTGTCTTCAAGTTGTCAATAATCCTGCTGCTTGCCATTTCCATAGGGACAGACTTGAGGCCAATTTCAGGCTCATCATGCTGCTTTCTTGTCAATCTCCTCCCCATTATGCTTAAATCAAGCTACATAATCCTCAGAGCTGGTCATGCAACTTGGAACCATATCATAACCCAAGAGTGCAATTTAAACCATCATAACTATTACCTTCTTCGAAGATGGCGTCCTGCACAATCTGTCCAAAGATGGCTTTGGGCACAAATAAAGCAGCGGTTGCAAGGACTTGATGATCCCAGATTCAACTTGCTGAAAATAACTCAAGAAAGGAAAACAACAACATCAAGCTTGAAGTGATAACAAGCATTGGTATAACATACTAGCTGAGCACACAAACCAATAGATCATCATAAGTCCAAGAATCATCTGAGATTGATTGCAAGTCTTTGACCACACTTTCATTACCCATTCGTAAGCAGACTTTCTGAACTTTAGGAAACTCATCATGAGAGGAATCACATCCACCAAGCCCCAATTTAGACAAAGAGGTGCGAAAGTCCCACACCTACCAGAATAGATATTCATTTTGGTTATCATATATCAAACAAAATAAAAACATATGCAGAGACAACTATGGTCAAAGTCCAAATAAGAAAATTCTAGTACCACAAAATAACAACATAGCATTAACCCTAAAAGGCATGGATGCAAAAGAGATGCACAACTCTATCTACTCGCACAGAGGAAATAAAATCTTCTACTATATCACCACCAACAGCATGAGTGAAGACATGTGAATTTGAACTTGAACCCTAATGCTAAATGCAAAAGAAAATGACTCCATCTCATAGGCTGCGGAATTCACCATTTTTTCTTTCTTTATGGGCACTTAAAGTAATCATCACCTTCAATATCTTTCTTCACCACAGCTTAGACATAAAGTAAACTCACAAATGGCCAGTGTCATGGTAATGACTCGAATGCATGATTGCATGTGGGTAAAAACTTATGGCTTATTAGATATTAACAAATAATCAAGGACTACGACACGCGTGGTCTAGGCAACTCCAAATGTATCATACCATGGCAAGATGTGGTTGAACTAGAACTTGACGGTATGTAGCATATAGGGCATCAGTAGATGTTTGGTAGAGGTGGTACCCTATCACTGGGTTATCTTTTTTTTTAACTAAAATTATTAAAAAAATATATGATATATAATTTTAAAAAATTAAAAATATTGTTCATTATTACCAACCTGCACATCATATTATTTCATATAACTGCATGTCACTGGTTATGGCCAAATCCCAAACAGCACAGAAAAGGAAGTGGGAGGAAACTCACAAAAAAGTAGAAATGAAAGGAATAGGATTTTGACTAGAAGAACACCATTTAAAAAGTAATGGTGTTAGAAATATGTTGAAATCATGTAAAAATAAATTTAGACGCTTTAGAAACCAACTTCTGCAACAATCCAAAGCCTTTGGATTTAAAAATCCTCTTATTCTTGCATTTGCTTTATAGTATTATGCAAAATAAGTTAGGATAAACATGTCAAGTGCCAAGCATGTGATGCCATATACCAGCCATCGGTTTTGTGTGCCACATTATGCTGTTCATGGTGCATGAGACATACACAAGGAAACTGCAGCCATATGAGAGAATATTGATCCAAGGTCTAGCATGTATTCCAGTATCTTGTCAAGATAGTACATGCCAATGAAATTTGAAATGCCATCAGTAAAGTTACCATAAACATGGCAAAAGAGAATTCCCTTGTGAACTTACAAGATGTCAAACATAAACTTCTGAATATCAGTCATCATGAGTACATCACAAGAAAATAAAGGAAGCAAATAATGATGAACTAATATGATAATGATCTAGCAGTACTTCACCTCACAAAAAAGAGTTCCATTGTAGTACTTGCAAGGTATGTAATCCAACATATCTCCAGGCAACCAGCCACACTCAATTGCCTGCATAGAGAGAAATCAGAATCTTAGAATCAGATACATGGCACAAAAGTAATAAATCAGAAAAAGCTCCATTCTTGCACTCTAAATTAGATAAACATAAAACAGAAAGTCAATTTTCCAAAATTGATTCAGGCCTGGGCAGGAGAAATCCAACACAAAAAGAAAGGTCAGTTTCTCCCCCTCCATCCTTGTATCCAAACAAACACTAGAATTGACACCAGTGTAGCTCCAGTTCTCAAGTATGCAAATGAAAGGAAATGACTTAATAATAGTAAAAGCACATCAAAACCTAACCAAGTACTCAAATTAACTAATGAAATTTTTTTTTTGTGCAACTTCTTTGATATATAATTAAATACATGGCTGGGTTTGACCACCCTCAGTGTCATCACCTCAGTTTGTTCTCATCTTGCACACTGAACTGAAGCTGAACTTTATCGTATAGTCCGGAATAGGGTTGAATGTAGCAACATAGATGCTCCAGTGGTGTCCACATCTGTGACACACACATGACACTTTTGACCTAACCCCAGTCACCCTCTACAAGGTGAATTGATTTTTAAATATTCTTCTGACCATGTCTTAGCATATTGATTATGTCAGAAAGAAGCTCACATAAAGCATAAAGAGAAGTGACATATTTGAGGACTCAACAGAAATGAGTATAAGACAATGACTAGATAAGCAAGTACAAATCAGAATTCAAGTAACAATATCCAAATCATTTGCCACTATTAATTATAGCATACTTACAGAAAACAATATCTTAGATGTCCTATCATAAGGGTGCAGCAACTTGGGAACATCTTCAAGCAAAGGCAGCAGCATACCCTAAAATTTGCAGTAAATTCATCAACATAACATAATAAGACAACACTAAATGGTCAGAAACCTGATAAAAAATTGATTGTAATAACTCACATATCAACTAAATGTAGAAGCGACAAACCTCAGTAGGTTTTCCGATAAAGAAACCATCAGGGTGTAAGTTAATGGAGAAGGATGGTTCACACTCTGCCATTAGAAGAACATTTAGAGAAGACATTTATGTTGACGCATAATAATTACAACATGATGGCCATTGCAATCACCTATTCCAAGGGAATTGTTTTCCTTCCTGGTTGTAAAAAAAGAAAAACAACCAAGTCCATCATCTAACCCCAGCAAAGAAGCCTACAGGAATAAGTTCAAAAACAAACATCCTTAACAAACTTCAACCCAAAAGATCAAATGGCACAATATCCAGTTGGTATATTACATAAGCAATAAGAACAAATTTCAATCAAAAAATACGAAATTATGAACTGAAGGTCTGAACTAAGAAACATCACAAACGTATATGAGTAGACATCAATGCAGTATGTAAAAACCCATCATTATTCATTAGTAAAAGGTTGTATCAAATATAAAGGAGACAACTAACGAAAGGTGGCTTGAAATACTTCAACATAAAGCAGATAACTAGTCGAGATTGCCTGAACCTGAAGCACCTTAATTTATCCAATTGAATAATAATTGCAGAGAAAATATATGGGTTTTTTTCCATAGTTTGGATTTGGAAGGGAAGGAAAAGAAAATAAAACCTTATGATAATATTCACTGGCATGCAAGAAACTAGAATAGTTATTTCACCTGTCAATGACAAATAAAACGAGTTATGTCGATTAAGTTAGGTTTTTCTTTTCCAGAAGCAAAAAAGCATCTACTGTAGCACATGCAACAAGTTTAGGCTTGTTGGGCAATCATCTTAACATTTTTCATTGATATTAAGGATCAGGCATATATCAGCAAGCTTAACAGTTAACACAACCAATATATTCACTCAGACAATGGCTCATGATGGTAGACTGCATGGTCCATCATACTGGCTTCTAAACCTGGTTTTTTCGACAAATGGACCAAAGCCTTAAAATGATGAATGCATAGACATATACATAGTCACAGACTCACAATATATACCACTTTCTTTCTCTTCATTTTTCTCTATTATTTCTTATCTTCCTTTTTCTCCTTCCTTTTCCCACTTTACATTCCAATCAGGGAAAGTCCACCTCCCTATCTACTAAAACTAGTTAGGGACTCTCTCAACTTCCGTCTGGTGTTAGTCATAGGTTATTCTCTCCTTCCTGTAATAATTCAAAAAATGATTGGTGTATATATCCTCTGGGCGTTCCAGTTGGTGGAGCTACCTTCGGATGGGTTTTCAATGTTCTTGGGAGGCTACTTTGCTCGTGTGGTTGCAAGTGATCAGATGTTTTTTATCAGTTTCTTTACTCCTGGTAGCCTGATGCCTGAACGTCTTTAGTCAAACCCTCGCACAAGCAGATATCATTCTTTCTCATCCTTTTTGCATCACCTAAATCCAATCGTCATTCCTTCTCTTTTAAATTGCACCCTTTATTTTCTTGGAAGCTATATAGTCATATTTAACTCAATGTATCAAAGGAGAAAAGAAATTAGCGATGGTGCATTTATTATCATGTTTAAAGAAGTGAATGCAAAGATGCACAACCAACATGGATGAAACAAATAAAAGGTGAGCCAATATTGTGGTTGTAATAAGCCAAATCATCATGGAAAGAACATAGAATTGGCAACTGTTGCAGAGTATAGAAATAAAAACAGTCGGCCAATTGAAGCTAGACAATACAATCCTGAAGGCAAAATGATCACAGCCCGTTCATTTGAAAAGCGGTAAAGCTTACACAACCTTGTCAGTCTAAAAGTGGGTAAGGAACAGGTAAATAGAAGAAATGAATCACTACAGTTGAAAGGTATCGTTTATCCATTTTCCAGCCACCAGAATCTTAATGTAGGCGGTGAATAACATAATTGTAAAACCCTAAAATGGCATGCCCTGAAATCATCCATCACCAAATGCAACTAGGTGCGTAATGAGTCAAGAGTAGACATTGGAGTAATATGTTATCATGATACAACCTACTTTTCTGCCATGAGTTGCCGTTGAACTGATACTTGCTTGCTTCACATTTATGTTTGGGAGAACAAAGTTGCTTGTGTTTTGCGTAAATCTTATATTTGTAAAGAACAGATAAACTTCATTGGACTTGAGAGAGTGATAAACTGCTCCCATGTTGCTTCACTAGAAGGGTCAGTCTAACAGTAGTATATCCGTGTTATGAGGGCGACAATGTATATCGCTTATTTTTGTCGCACAGTTCACCAAAGCTGAATCTGAATGCACATGGCACCGCCTCGGGTTAAGCTGAAAACCCATCCTTCAATTCGATCATATTAAGCGAACAAGAAAAGAAGGAAAATAACAGCCGAGATAACAATTAAAAAACATACTATAAGATAAACGAAGTTATAGTGGGGGATTTGGATTGGGCAATAACCATTTCAACACGGAACCCTTAAAGGAATCGTGCAAATCGAAACCCATAAATAAAGGGTAAAACAGAACAATGGCGAAGCAAGAAACCCCGGAGAAAACCCATTAACCACAAAGAAAGCATCGCCAAGCTCCAATCCAACTCGGAATACAACAGATGCGAACGCGTAACTAAGGGAATAAAGCCACATAACCTCCCAAATAATCAAACTCCAAACCCCGAGCATTCACAAGAATCCAACACGCAAACCCTAAATCGCGGCCACAACCCCAAAATCGGACAAGCGACAAAGGCCGAATGCGCCAAACTGCTAAAAAGATCGGGCTGGAACAGAAACCACGGGGAGAACACAAACCCCAAAGCTGGTAAGACTAAAGGTTCACCTTAGGATCATCGCTGCGTGGGGGATCCGCGGGGCCATCGACAGGGAGGAGGGCGCTCTCCACATCGCCGTCGGCCGCGTCGGCAGGGTCCGGAGGGGGAGCCCGTGGGCGGTAGCGGGAGCCGACGCGGGCGACCTTGAAGGAAACGCCCATAAAGGCGTCAGAAGGGTATTGAAGGTGGTGCGGCGACGGAGGAGGCGTTAGGATTCAAATGGGAGAGGGAGACGAAAGGGGGAAGAGAAAGGCGGAGGAGGGCTTCGGGTGTCGGAGTACATGCAAAAGCGCCTTTGTATCGTGGAAAGGTGTCGAGCGAGACGTGGGGAAGAGGGGTTGGTTCGTTTTATAGATGCAGTAGCTGAGGGTTATGCTCACCGGGTAGTGAGCCTGAGCGAGCTGCTGTTGTTGCGCGTGTGTGTACGTGTCTACATTCTGAAACAAGGAAACGCGAAGAGGCTCCATTTGGCAAAATAACAACAACAATAATAATAATAATAATAATAATAATAATAATAATAACAAGAATAATAATAAATATAATAACTACAAACATACATGTCGGAAAATATTTTTTAAAGAAAAAATAATGAATAATTTATAAAAAATCTCAATAATGAGGTTTTATCGGATGATATCATCTTTGGTTTTTACCTTAATGTGTCTTTTTTTATATTATCATCTATAAAATTAAAAAAAATATCCACTGACTATGGTTGACTATATTTTTTTATAGATTGAATCGATTTGATGGACCTAAATTAAGTCAAATTTATGGTTCAATCGGATCAATTTTATTGAATCAAACTGTTTTAATAAAATTTGAAGTATTTGATTTATTATTATTATAACTTAAATTGCTTTCTTTTTTTTTTCTTAAATCTCCCAACTATCCTATTCTATCAATGCAACAACGATGTCAAAGGCTCCCGTTGCCAACCTTCTTGTCAATGGTGATCGGCAACATCATGATTTTCATCGTCGTCGTCTCCTTTGTCATTGTTGTCACCAATATGAAGCAAGGATAGCATGAGTCATAGCCATTTAAAGCGATAATAGGTGGGCGTTGTCAGACAAGAGAGGAAGGGCAGTCCCAACGTTGTTGGTAACATTATTGTCATTGATTTCTTGCCAACAAGCTATTGTCAGAGAGCAGAGGAAGGGAGGTCATGGTCGTTGATGCCAATAGCATAGAAGGTGGATGTTGCCTTCACGCTAATAGTACGTCAGCCTTCCTATTATTCACCATTATCGTGGTCATCGATTAAGCGTTGATCATCAACGATCAGTGGGACAATCGAGCTTTAGCTTAGTCATCATCCTTCGCCTTCCTATTGATCATCGTGATTGTGGTCACGAGCCTCAATGATGAGTGGTCACCAACGTCAATATTCTCCTTCCCATTGGTGTTTATGAGAGTCCCCATCAATAAAACCATCTATTGAGCATTAGTGACCAGTTGGACAATAGAAACTTAGCATAGTTGTCACTGATGTCTCGGGAGGTGGCCATCACTTATGTCCTTATTCTTATCGGTCATTATCACTTCAATGAAGCCTAGCAACCTCGTTATATCCTCATTTAGTTTCATACAATCTAGTTGAATCGCTATATGACTTATGGTGTATTAGTGAAATATCTATAGTATTGTTGAAGCACGTCTTTCGTAGTGCCATTGAAGCTTGGTTGCATCGACCTATCTTTCAATACATTATGAATCATTTTGCTAGAATAATAAAAAATATATAGTATTACATAAATACAACTTTGTAGTTTGATATTATTAATTCCGAATGTCATATAATTATATGCTACTTATGACAGGGATAATATATCTATACAAGTATACAGATACAAATTTTTGGCAAGTGTATTATAACATTATGAGATAATGTAAACTTATGAAAATTTTAAATTTGAAGTTATCATTTTGCAATGTAACAATCCTTGTATTTTTATTTTTGATTATTTTCAAAGTGGATATTAGGATAATTTTTTGTTAAGATATGTTTTATTCGGATTACCACGTGTCAAATTTCTCTAATTACACTAAAATTATTAAAAATTTAAAAAATAAATACTAATCAACTTAGAATCATATCATACAAGTTTTGATAAGTTTTGATCAATTATGTTCATTGTAACTCGAGCTACAATCAACCACCACTCAAGATTAGGTGGTAGTAACACCCAAAACTATAATATCCTTTTTTAATTATCTAAAAATAAAAATAAATTAGGAAAAATAATACTAAGCATATTAGAATTATGTTATTATTATTATAGAGAAGTTTTAATATGTTTGAAATCAAGCATCACACATCCCTTATTTGGATAATTCAACACCCTAAATTTTGAAAAAAAATCAAAAAAGGATACAACATATGGTAGAATAATAATATCATGTCAACCTAGAAGTTTAGATAGGTTTGATGATAATTTCTTTATTTAAACTTGAGTTATACTTAGGTTACTTTGAATGATTCAAAAATCTCATATTATGACAAATAATAACCCTAAATCAAAAAAATTAAAAATAGTATTAAATATTTTATAATCATTATATGATAGTTTTGGAGATGTTTGGATAGGTTTGAGGATAATTTTTGTCACATCTTGGAATTTTTTTATAGGATTACAACATCTTTTCACCGATATTTTTTGTGCATTAAGAGCTAAGTAAATAAATATTATTCTATTAATATACATAAATTATAAATATTTATTAAAATTTATTTATTCATCACTAAAAAATAAAGTCGAATTGAATCTATTTAGTGGTAGAGGAAAGTATATTCTCTATTAGAATCTGATCAAGTACTACCAAGAGACTACTCTGAATATCAAAATCAAACAAAAAAATTTCAGTAACAATGAGTTAGGAACCCTATATGTTAACTATAAAATAAAATACATATCCAAAAATCAATCTCCCACTAGTATATATTAAATACCTAAAGAAACACTCTTCCAATAATAGATAGAGAAGTTTTCTCTTATATGACGAGTTTATATTCTCGCAACAGATGAAAATAAACTCATATTGCACTCGTAACAAAGGATAAAGTAGTATCTCTCGCTCACCAAAATTGATACATGTTTCTCCTAATAACGGATGGCTGAACCATCTAGTTGCCATATATAATAGCCCGTTAATCCCCGAAGGGAATCACTCTACTCATCCTCGTTAGAAAAATAAATCATCTCGTACTAATCATATCTATATTTTAGATGAAATAATATATTAAAATATCTCAATTTATTTTTTAAAGATCACTAATATCAAATAATATTAATTATCCCTCGGTTGACTTGAATCCTACTCAATCGATCTAATTAAACTCGATTTAACTAGAACCTAACTAAATCGATCTCTAATCCTTATTTAACTGATCTACAACCACCTTAGACTGGTATAATTTGAATCAGATTATGTTCAATTTTGGTTAAATAGATTTGAATAAGTTAAATCAATTCGGAATCACCTTGAATCGATCTAAGTTTAACAGTAGGCTAAGTTAGACCAACCTATGTATTAGTCATGTGTACTTCATATAACTATGCATGTATTATTCTTGGTCGAGCTAGCCGATAGCATATTAATTGATCATGTGCACCACATATGAGTGCCCATGTTGGGCTGAGTTGAGCTAGCCTAGGGGTTGGGGTTGACTTGCGAGTTGGGTCTAGCCTATTGACTGAGTTTAGCCTTTCGGCTCAGCTTAGTCTATGGGATGTGACCTAACTTACTGGTTGTTTTCAATTCAAATTCTAATTAATTTTTTAAAATTTTAAATTATGACATCATAAAATTATAATCAAGATATTTATTCATTAGTATTGAATCATTAAAATATAATAAATAATAACATATTAAAAAGATAAAATTACATAAGAGAGAAAAAAATATTTCCAATCGAGTATTATATAAATATAATAAAAATCAAATATCATGTTTCCAAGATAAAAAAAATTTAGAAACAGGACATTAATAATTATAATATATTTTAATCTATGTATCATCATTTGTTTTTTGTTTTCTGGCATTCATCTGATAATAAATGCATGGAAAATGTTATAGATATGCGCTGCTGGTTGTCGCTTTGACTTGCTGATGTGAATTTTCAGATGAAAATAAGTGCCGACACTTAAAGAGAGGAAAAAGAAACAGGTTGGAGTTCTCGAAAGGCAAATATATCCAATGCCAAGTGGAACAGAGCTTCTCATGATTGGGAACAGCCTTGTCCGAGAGCCATGAACAAGTGTTATGGGTTCAAGTCAGAGAGTAATAAAGAAACCTGTTTCTTTCCGCTGCACAGGCTTAAAAGATTCTGGCTGCTCTCAACTTGCTGCTGCAGACCTGCTGCCATATGACCACATGCAGCAAGTGGGGCTGTTGCTCCAGGCTTCTGCTCATGGAGGTTGCTGGCTCTTGAACCTCTGCAACTTTCCAAGGATCCCTCTGCCGCCTCTTCTTGGTGTTCTGCGGGTGCACTGCTAGCCTTTTTGGACACAGGTAGTACACATGCAAAGCAGGCACAGGATTGCATTGTCATCCAAGTGCAGACAATCTTCAAGTTGATCAGTACTTTTATGAATATGATGACCTGAGTTTCTGATTGCTTGCTTGATTTCTCTGTGAAGACTTCGATTCAATGCATTGCTTATGATTGCTTCGCAATCGTCTGAAAGATGATGCCCTCTATGCTAAAAGGTCCATCACCATTGCACTAGAGTTCGCCAGACAGTTTGAGCTTCTCTACTTCTACCCTTCTCTTGTTGACTTCCTGTTCTTTGGCTTACTTTCATATGAGTCTAGCCACTGAATTTTGTGCTTGCTCTAGCTGAAACACAAAAAAGCCACATCTCTACAAAACAAAGCTTCACCTTATCAGACATCATAAAATAAACAGTATAGCTTAGGAAACATAATAAACCAAACAGTAACAACAGTTAGAAACAGTTGCCAAAAAACAAGAAATGTGAGCAATAATAAATCTGCAAGGAGGCAGAGAGATTCTTCCCTTGGAGTATTATCTCATCAACCCTCATTTAGGTTTTCTTAACAGTAGGGGGAATGTCATCAGTTGGGACACCTAATGGAACTATCAAAATGCTTCATTGCATGTATATTCACCAAATCCATAGCTTCCACTAACAAAGTCTAGTTCTGAGATATTCTATTACATGCAATGAGTCCTCCTCATGTGCTTCACCATGTTTATGATCTCCAGTCCAAATGAATAGTTAGATGTCTAACACCATCTATCGAGGACCACATGATATTTGATTCCTTCCAGTCTCCGACCAACCACACTCTATCATCATCAGTTTCACAAATAACATATTGATGCTACACATGGCCCATCCATCTTTATGAAGGGCTGGAAAGACATTAATTGTGAACAGAAGAAAGATCAACATAGATGCACTTATTTCATTGAAATCTAATAAACTTGTGGCTCATGATTCGTTCATCATTAGTCTGCATGAAGCCTTACGTTGCCTGCAACTGCAAATGGCTGTAAATACTACTTGAAGGCAAAAGCAAGTGCCGCAAGTTGTGAGAAAACAAAGCTCTTCAGAGGATGAAGAAATTATCCAAATCATATGGATCAGTTCCACATGGTCAATGTAACTAAGGTCATTTAACTATAAATAACATAAAGTAAGCATCGCTAACTAGAGATGTCAAAGAAAAAAAATTATTAGGAACAGGATGACCTACCTGTTTGACAAGGAAATGATGATGTCTCCTCCATGCTAATTGTATGCTTGTAGCAGCCTAGCCAACATGATTTTACTTCTGCTTGTCTCCCCAACCAATTTCAAGAATCATACTATATAGAACAAACATATCCAGTGAATGCATTAATAACATCACTACTCAATAATGGTACTACAGCAAAGAACTCTAGAGAGAGAACAAAGGCTTACTTTTAACTGTTAGAACGCCATGTTCATCAAACCATTGCCTACTAAAGAAAATTGCACTTGAGCAGACGGCCAATGCTCTATATAAAGCCTCATCCCCTCTGGATGCAAGCACCAACTTTGATTTCCCCATTGTGACATCCTGTACTCGCTGTCAAGAGAGACGATGGCGGGAGGATCACAGAGTTCCGAGAAAGTGAAGCTTCTTGTAGCTGTTCTTGCACTCCAATTCAGCTATGCAGGGTTCCATATAGTTTCCAGAACCGCACTCAACATGGGGATCAGCAAGCTTGTCTTCCCAGTTTATAGGAATGTCATTGCTTTGGTTTTGTTGGCCCCCTTTGCATATTTTCTAGAGAAGTAAGGCAGTTCTCTTGGCTTACATGCTCCTGCTGAGAGCAGTAAAACTTAGTCATTTGATGTCTCAGTCTGATTTTTCTCTTTCTTCAGGAAAGACAGGCCACCTCTTACCTTATCCTTGCTGTGTCAGTTCTTTCTTCTGGCATTATGTGGGTAAGCAAATACAAAGTCCTGTTTACATGAGTTGTACCAGCTTTCGGTGCCTCTTTCCAAGTCTACACTTGGTTACTGTTCAGCTTACAATCTTTCTTTTTTCCTTTTCTTTTTCTTTTTCTTAACTTCCAGGATAACTGCTAACCAAGGATTCTATCTCTTGGGTTTATATTATTTGTCTCCAACCTATGCTTCTGCCATCCAGAACTCAGTTCCAGCAATAACATTTGCCATGGCTGCAGCTCTTAGGTAATTGAAGGAAATGTAACCAAGTCTATATGCATACAAGCAGTATCACATCTCATGTGCTCTTGTTTAATTAATCCTCGTTCCTCAGGCTTGAGCAAATCAATGTCAACAGTAGATATGGTGTGGCAAAGGTGGTCGGAACTGTTGCCAGTATAGGAGGTGCCACCATCATTACTCTCTACAAGGGCCCTCCTCTTCTGAATCACCAACAACATAGCAAACTATTCCTCGGTGCCTCATCGAACACAATACTGAATTGGACATTGGGTTGTGTATACATCCTTGGGAATTGCCTTGCATGGTCAGGTTGGATGGTGCTTCAGGTTAGCCCTTCAATATCTACTCTTCGTGAGGGTATCAGTTGGTTTATGGTATCATAACAAGATAGCTTATGATTGCTTGTGCTGAATGAATACAGGTTCCTTTGCTCAAGAAGTACCCTGCCAGGCTCTCAATTACTACAATTACCTGCTTCTTTGGGCTAATCCAATTCCTCATAATAGCAGCCTTCGCAGAGAAGGACATTGAGAGGTGGAAAGTCCACTCCGGAGGGGAGCTCTTCACGATCCTCTATGCTGTAATGCCACCATACATCTGCTGGCTTCTTTGTTTCTCTCATGATTAAACAAACAGTTTGGGCTGCTGCTTAAGATCATCAGATTTGCAGTCTTATGTTTGATGCTGATTTTGCAACCTATACAGGGTCTTGTGGCATCAGGAGTCTCTTTCTCTCTCCAGATTTGGTGCATTGATAGGGGAGGTCCCCTTTTTGTTGCTGTTTTCCAACCAGTGCAGACAGTGGTTGTGGCCATCATGGCAGCTGTTATACTTGGTGACCAGTTGTACTCAGGAGGGTATGGTGACAGTAATTTCATGAAGAATATTTTATAATCACAATTTCTACCATGCAGTGCATAATCTTCTAACATCCTAATAATTGTCTTCCTTGCTCTTTTCCAGGATTATTGGATCCATTCTGATTGTGCTTGGCCTCTACTTTGTCCTCTGGGGGAAAAGTGAGGAGAAGAAACCTACAAAGGAGGCACTGGAGAATAATGACCTTAGAAGGCTTCTCCTTGACCAAGAGAACTTGCATAAAGAAAACGCTGCAGTCACTGACATCCCATGAGAGTGGCCCATTCTGTGTGTCCTGAAAGTATAATGGAGTTGGTGTGGGCAGTCATAGGTTCCAAAAGCCACTGTAAGCTTCACAAGTTCTTCCTGTTCAAGTCTTGTGGGAAGTCATAGATTCCTATAGGCACTGTAAGCTTCACAAGCTCTTCCAGTCTTGTCCAACTTGTACATGGCAGTATGGGTTCTGATCCAGTGGGGATAATGCCCAACCAACTACTTTGAAATGAAGGTGTGACTCACATCTTGATTGATGTTGAACTCTTTTGGCTCCTGCTGTTGGAGTGTTGTAGTCAAGAGGCCATGGCATGAAGTATGTGACAGAAAGCTGGTTACTTGTAGGTGCCTCACATGCAAATGATACTTCTGTCCCTCAAATAACACAGTCTAAGTGTCTTATCATGCATTACTGTCAGCTGTTGGAATCTGAAATTTCAGGTAATGATCTGTGATCTGGCAACCATTGAATACAATTTATCTGTTTGCAAGAAAAACCATTGTGGGTACTCTTAGTGCAACTGATTGAGCTCAAGCACTGACAGAAATAAGATCTGTATAAGTATGATTATCACGAAAAGAAAAAAATTACCCCTAAACTTGAATAGATCTTTAGCACCGAAACCTTGCACTGTGTCCATGAAAGACATTTTGCTGCTAATTGTAGCCTTTATAGCAGAACTTTGTCACTGAACTTAAATGGCTTTTTCACAGACCTCCATATCTGGACTCATTCTGGAATACAATTCATTACCAAATTCACTTAGACATTCAGCATGATTATGAAATCATGATTTCCTGCCAAACTCTGTCGTAAGTGAGAAAATCCATGAGAAAAACACCCGATTCCCATGAAAAGAATGATTATAGAACTAATTCCTCGATGAGATTTTATTTCACATGTTCATGCTTGATGCATGATTTTGGTTTTGTTCACAAAGTAAATTCCATCAACTTATCCTCAGAGGTACTGCCACATTTCAGAGCATACTCTTGTTCTGAAAAGTTCTGAAAGAAACTTGGGACTTCAGACTAAATTGTTCTCAATCAAAGAGATGAACCGCACCATAAATTGTGGATCACAAACCTTGAAGTTCTTTTATGTCAATCGAGCAATGAACACCATATACGATTGAAGATAGCAATGGAGAGCTGAAATGAAGTGCTGTCTTCCAATCCCCTTGCACATCTTTATGAACCACCTCACATGAAGCTTCGTCCTGTCCCTGTCGTTTGCACCATAAACTGCCAAGAGGCCTCTTCATCCTGCCACCCACGCGTGTGCATTCTATGAACTGGGATCACACAGTTGTATCATGCATGACACTGCTGCAACAGAGCACGGATTTAATCGTAGATCCAACCTTCACAGACCCCACATCGGGCACTGTGGGGAACAGATCCAATTAAGACGCGTCACTGTCGAGTCCTGGCCATGAGCATGGGCACAAGAGGAGCAATGAAGACAGCTTGGAGTGTTCCTTCGGCTGCTGTCCGTAGCTTCGAACCTGCCACACTGAACGAGTCAATTGATATCATTCATTGTCTCTGGAAGAAACCAAGTCCTTTCGAAGGGCCACGCCATGGAGGGATTCATGGAAACAGAGATGTATTCCGAATAGCTCCGAATCAATGCATCAAGCTTCTTCTAAATTTTGCTACAACTTGATGCCTGCAACAATTTCCACTGTGACCTGAAAGCAGGATGCTTCTCTTTTAGAAAATAATATCAATATTCTTTTTGGTATGCTTGTCAATTTTTCTCTGAGAAAAGGATTTTGTAACCACCATTTCCTGGTTTCTAATTTATAGTTCTGAAACTGATGGAAGACCGCAGGAAACATTAAATATACATACTGTTTCGTATCCTTTTCTGGAGGCTGATATCACTGTAGAGAATGAGGCTGACCTCAGGAAGTGGAACGGTTGGGTAGATTCTCGACTCTGAAGGTGAAGTGAACCATTAAAACTAACGTACTTCACTAGATTGAAGCAACTGGATAATTCTTTGGACCTCCTTTTGCTTCAACTCCATTACCCTCGAGGCTTCTCGGACAACACTCGACCATCTGATCGCTGTTCCTTCATGCCAGTAAGGCTCAGAACTTTGAAATCATGTGGAAACCTTGAGAATGGAGATTCAAGTATCTCACACAAAACATGCGTATGGCCATGTCGTCCTACTAGAACAGCGGAGGCTGGCGAGGCCGTGGCATATCCGGAAGTAGAGCCTCCACTATGGTTCACGCTGGAAAACGCACTAAGACTCTACCTCATTTGGCAGGTGAATCTGATGCGTTAGAAAAACACTGAAGAAGCACCTGCGTCCACTGTTACCAGAAGCTTTATACGCTGTTGCATGTCCGCGTCTGCTTTTTGGCTCCAAAGAGGCACCGGCGTCGGCATTTAGTCAAACAACTGGTGCGCAGCTCTACCAGAGGTGGGTGGATGAGGTCGAATACTTCGAATCACAGTGCCTGGATAAAGATGTTGGGATCCTGCAAGTAGCTGCTCTGTGGATGGAGTCTTCCACTGCCGTGGCAGTAACAGAGACATCGGAGGCGAATAGGTTAAGCATCCGAGTGATTCGCGGTTGGAATCGATCATCAGCATTAGTCCAAACAATTTCGTACGAGTTCGGTCACATCGTGGTGCAATTTGCAGGAGCTGATGTGACATCTTTTGTTGTGGTGGTCGTTGGCCTTTTATTAAGAGCAGGTAGATTTGAAGAGATGTGACTGAGGATAAACATGTGTGCCACGAACTTATATTAAGATCTATCGGTAGATTTGAAGATCTAACAAGAAAAAAGACATGTATCGGCTATTGAGGTCCAAATGTAATGCCTACCGATCTTATCGATGCCTAATTAGACACCACCGCCGCATGCGGATATGACATGTGGAAGATTATTCTCATGTCTTCATCTCTCGATAATTTTATTCCCTCTCCATTTCATCGATCGTATGAACCGATAAAGAAGAACACGAGAAGCACCGTCGTCCGTCCGGTGTACGTATATAATACGTATCCAGAGTTTACTATTGCCAGTTGAGTGTCAATAAGAAGAAGAGGAAGAATAAAAGAAATGCAACCTGTTGAATGGAAACTTGGACTATGTTGTCACACGCACACCATGCCAATTGTTTAGGATTCGGACATTAGCTCGACCCCATGATTTGAGATTGTCATTGACGATACATGTTTACGACACACCAAATAATTGCTCATCGTAGGTCAGCAGTGATGCCAGCGAGAGTTTGATAGACTTTTGACCGACCAAAAATAAAAACATATGTGGTTTTTTGTTTTTGAAATCCCATCATGATGAAAACATAAGTGATATCCTATCAGTGATATCAGGAGAGAGAGAGAGAGAGAGAGAGAGGAACAGTTCCAAGTTCACAGGAAGAAGGAATTGTCGATATCCGTAATAGCGGGTTACCATCACAATCCTGTCACTAGTCTTTCTGTGATTGATTAAGCGAGAAGGCCGTATCCACTTCAACTCAGGTATAAAGATGAGGTGAAATCTGGAATATTTGTCCCTACATGGCCCAGCTGCGTACACACTGGATCGGAGAAGAAACTCCAAGAAGAATGGTGCATGAGATTTGATACGAAGAGGACATGGTTATTGAAAAGATGTGAACAGCAGCAGCGTTCGAACACGTCTCTGGAGATTAATCTAGAGATGGGAAGGGGAAGGG